CAGAGTATAGGGTAATCTCCTTGCTTAAGTTTATTTCTAGGTATTTTGTTGTTTTTGATGCAATGGAAATGTTTATGCCAGTTATAAAGTTCCGGTTTTTGAAGTGAAAAAAAAAAGTGAATGAAGGGCTGCAAATGGCAAAATTTCCTTCTTTCTTATGGGTGAGTTGTATTATTACATACGTATGCTGCATCTTTACCCATTTATCTATCGATATGCGCTTGGGATGCTTCATATCTTGGCAATTATAAACAATGTTGCTGTTAATAGCAGGGTATATGTATCTTTTTGAATTAATCCTTATTTTGTGGTTGGCTTTATTCTTTTGATAACTATCTAAGTTTAAAGAGCTAAAACTCTAAACATTCTTAGAAACAATGAACAGTACATATATGTAAATTTTTAAAAAGTGCAGTATATTGTGTATATATATTTACATGCAATATATTGTATATGTACAAATTGTAACAATTCTACCTAATAAAACTGAAAAATGAAAAAAAAGATACATGCACCCTAATGTTCATAGCAATACTATGTACAATAGCGAAAACAAGGAAGCAACCTAAATTTCCCTCGACAGCTTACTAGTTAGAAGTTGTGGTATATTTATACAATGGAATACTACTCAGCCACAAAAAAAGAATAAAATAATGCCATTTGCAGCAACATGGATGGACCTGGAGATTGTCATTCTAAGTGAAGTACGCCAGAAAGAGAAAGAAGAATACCATGTGCTATCACTTATATGTGGAATAAGACAAAAAAAAAAGGACACAAATGAAATTATTTACAAAACAGAGACAGACTCACATCATAGAAAATAAACTGTGGTTACCAGGGAGAAAAGGGGGTGAGGAGAGATAAATTGGGAGTTGGGGATTTGTAAATAGTAACTACTATATATAAAATAGATAAACAACAAGGTCTTACTGTATACCACAGGGAATTATATGCAATACTTTGTAATGGTCTATAATAAAAAAGAATATGAAAAGAAATATATATATATGTACAAATGAGTCACCATGCTATACACCAGAAATTAACACAGCATTGTAAATCGAGTATACTTCAAATAAATAAATAAATGAATAAATAAATAAAATAAGATAAAATACTATCATCATTAAAAGTATCTAAGGGATCTTGGAGAAGTAATTTATTCCATGTCTGAGGTAGAAAATTATAAGATGAATCTGGAACATCTTGGGCAAAAATGTAAGGAAGTTCTCAAAAAAAAAAAATGATAGAGATACGGCAAAGGTTACCAGAGCCAGTTTGATGTGGCTCTCAGTAGTTAAACTTGGGAGAATTTGAGTAGCAAATTGAATTATCATAGCACTGGTTTATACAAGTTATTGAAGAAAAAAGAATCCATGAGTCCATCCTAATACTAAATAAACAATAAACATGGAGTCTCTTATTTACAATAGAATACCAACTAATAAATGTAATGGGAAATACTGAGCTGCAAAACCACCATTTGCAAGTAGCAAAATAAAAATTGATTCAGGCAAGAATCATCAGGAAATGTTAAAACCCCTAAATGTAGGTTTGTTGGGGAACGATGTATCTCCCAGGCTCAAGGAATCGCCTCAAGTTTTTTCACTGATTACACAGCTTGCAAGGGTGGGGAAATACTTCCAGAGTGGAGAAATCTGGAAGACCCATTCTATTTATAGATCAGTGATAACATCACCAATAAGACTTACATCAGCCACCTAACGATATGATACAAGGGCACAGCAACACTTACGTATTATTCTGGGCAAAAATGTGAAATCTGAATCTACTCATGAGGAATACATCCAAATTGAGGCGCAATATATGAAACCTGGGGGCCTATAACTTTCTTAAAGGGTGGCATTTTCCTAAACACAGTAAAAAGTTAAAGGACTGTTTCAGATTAAAGGGGAGTAAATATACAGCAACTTTAAATAATATTTCATACTAAATTGAATGAAAAGAAAAATAATAATTGCTATGAAAAAGAGTTTGGGGAAAACATGAAATTTGAATATGTGCTGTATTTTGGATTAAAACATTGTATCAGTGTGAAATGTGAATTTGGTCATTGCACTGCTATATAGGTAAGAGACTGTCCTTAGAAGTTAACATGCCAAATATTTAGAGATGAAGGCTCATGATCTCTGCATATTTTACTCAAATGATACAGCAAAAATTTAGACTAGGAACAATGAGAGAGAGAGGGCAGAGAGGGAAATGTGGTCAAATGTTAATAATGGCTGAATCTATAGGAAAGTTTTATTGGAATTTATATTTAAGTAACTCTTCCGTGTTTTCATTATCTCTAAATAAGCATTTAATGGGAAACTAGTTTTATCGAACACTTCTGTAAGTTAAGCAGGCAGGGAGTCTTCCTGAGCAAGCTCATTCCATCATTTTATATAGAAATCTATGAATCTATCATCATACGCACACACACATAGCAGTCTCTTCTTTACAAATAGATACATAAGCACTTATTTGGGCTAAATGAATGAAGAAAAACAGAGAATATTTTAAAGTGTGGAGATATATTACCAGCAAAAGCTATAGGGAAATGTGCAAACCAAGCATTTACTTGTAGATTTGCTGGCAGCCAAGAGAGGAGCACAGAGATTGTTTCTTCATTATGCCCTGACTCACATAAGTACATAACAGACACTGAAATTTTAATGAAGACATTAAAATTTTCTCATTAGCAATTAAAATCCATTACTTCACTTTCTAGAATATGAAATGATGTGAAAATAAGATACAAATTTCATTTTAAATTTGTCAAAATTATAAAGAAAACCATTAAGAATAAGTATTTTTTTTAAATCTAAATACTTGGTGGTTAATTTATTTGTACCAATATAAGATAGGATTCATAGTTACCAATTCTCATTAAAATGAAAACAGGAATATTTAGTGTAATGACATAAACATTCTATTTATTGGAAATAATATATGTGCACACCCAATCCAAGGATGGAGTTATGGAGGAGGGGCTGGTGTTGACAGACATGGAGAGCCATAATAAAGTGACCCATGTGTATGCAATGGAGGGGGTGCTGTTGGAAACACAGCTCTGAATCTGGGTTTCCTGGGGGATTAGCTTCCCCCGGAGTCTTCAGGTAAATGCATAAAAATCCCTGCTCCCTGGTACCCAACACTCTGAGTCCTCCTTGAGTCCTCACATTCTAGGCTATGAAGACTGCATTTGGGGCAGGTGAGTAAGTTTTTTACTGGCATGGTGTAAACTTTTAGGAAGGAAAAGGAGAGTACCCCATCTACACTAGAGGGTTATGGGGACTAAAGTAGATGTTTGAGAATATTAAGATGTTTCTCTGGCACTAAGTAAGTAGAATGATATCTAATGCTCTATAATTTAAAAACGCAGTGATCAACTAACTCCTCCCACGATAGCACCAAACTCCTTAACTTGTAATCAGAGCCAAAATACTTTTGTTTCTTTCTTACCATTGTGTAGTAGATGTAATCACACAGGGGTGCAAACTGTTTTAAATGCATTAAATATTTGTATGACAACAGTTTATCCTTAAATTTCCAAATAACTTCATCCCATTCTCCCCCTAATTTATATCCATCCAATGACATCCAACAGCCAAATAGACTGAATTATCCATTCCATCAGGTTCCCACAGGAGTTTTCCTTTGTACAACTAATATATTCCCTTAACGTATTAATTTAGTTAGATATTTAAATGTCCATCTTCCCTGTAAGATTGTTACCTCATTAAAAAAAAAGCAGATGATATGCAATTCTTAACCCTATGTTTCCATCACCCCTATGGAAACGAATCAGGAAGGTGCCATAAGCTCTGAGTACAGTCTAAAAGTTGAACTGTGTCTATAAACAGAAAGTGAGGTCCCAGGTCATATGCTCCAGGTATGACTACCTTAAACCACACTGGTGTTAGCCACACAGTCTTCCACTTGCTGGGCATCCCCGGCCTTGAGGACCAGCATTTGTGGATTTCCATCCCCTTCTTCATTTCCTATGCCATCACCCTGCTTGGGAACAGTCTGCTCATCAGCATTATCTTCACGAAGCGCAGCCTCCACGAGCCCATGTACCTCTTCCTCTGCACGCTGGCCGGAGCAGACATTGTCCTCTCCACGTGCACAGTACCTCAGGCCTTGGCCATCTTCTGGTTCCGTGCTGGGGAGATCTCCCTGGATCGCTGCATCACTCAGCTTTTCTTTATCCATTCCACCTTCATCTCTGAGTCAGGGATCTTACTGGTGATGGCGTTCGACCGCTACATTGCATATGCTACCTACTGAGATACACAACTATTCTTACACATGCACTGATAGGGAAAATTGGTGTGACTATATTCCTGAGAAGTTATGCTACAATTTTCCCCATAATATTTCTTCTGAAAAGACTGACTTTTTGCAGAAATAACATTCTTCTGCACACGGCTTGTAAGCACATTGTCTTGGCCCGTGTTTCCTGTGATGACATACAAGTAAACATCTGGTATGGGTTTTTTGTCCTAATGTCCACAGTGACCTTAGATGTTGTGCTAATTTTCATTTCATATATGCTTATTCTCCGTGCTGTTCTCCGCATCCCTTCTCAAGATGCTCGCCACAAAGCTTTCAACACATGTGGCTCCCATGTCTGCGTCATCATTCTCTTTTATGGGCCTGCCATCTTCACAACACTTACTCAGAGGTTTGGACACCATATGCCACTCCATATTCACTCTCTGCTGGGCAATGTCTGCATTCTGGCTCCTCCTATGCTGAATCCCATCATTTATGGGATCAAAACCAAACAGATCCGGGACCAGGTGACTCAAGTCTTGTTTTCAAAAAAGGTATGACTTTCAGAATGGAGGCAAAAGTACTGCTTTCTCCACATTTCTCACTCAGAGTCTGAGAAACAAATGAGTTCACCTTTTTAATTCATTGCTAGTCGATAGCTCTAGATAGGCGTTTGGAAAGAGATGAATTAGGATAATTGCTAGACTAATCTTTCCTGGTTTGTTCTGTGCCTTGATGTGGTGAAGTAGTCCTCATTCCACTTATCTACCTTGGGACATTGCTCTATATATTCTTCCCTCTGTCTGCTCTATCACAAAGTTTTCTTTTTCACAGGCTCGCCTCTATCCACATAATTCTGCTATTTATCCTACAGGAAAGAAGGGAGGAATGGAGGGAGGGAAGAGAAGGGAATCAAACATGCAAAAATCTCTGGCATCCACATTCCCTTGTAGCCTTACCCCTTTCCTCCAACTACTTTCCCCTTCTCCTTCTCTTCTTCTCCTTTCTCTCTCTCTCCATCACAGAAAAACACCTTAAAAGAGTTGTCTATACATTCAAGATTCAATACTTTTCCCTCTGTTTCCTTTTGAATCTCACAACAATCAGGCATTTTCCTTTTGCCATTGCACGCATGTCATAGTGACCTCCACGCTGCTGGATCCAATGGTCAGTCTTCATTCTGTACCTCACATGACACGTGAGAAATATTTGTCACAAATGCTCTCTCATTCTTGAAGCTTCTCATTTATCCCATCTTAGACAGTATATTAGAAATAAAGTTTCTATAAAATACCCATTTCTTCCAAAATGGAGCTATTCACTCCTAATATTTTATACAAGATTGTGTCTTAACTGGAACCGTGTCTGTCTACTCACAAAACCACTATATTTTCAATACGGCACATGGAAACCTTTATTTCCCACTCCTCATGGTTAGACAGGTAGATATTGATAGTGACCATTACAACTTCCAAACATAACTTCCTCTCCCTTTAGCAAAACTACCAACACTCCTGGAGTTAACACCAGCTGGAAACTATTTTCCCACTGTACCACCTAACACCTGATCTAGCCCCATTGTCCCCACCCCATGATTTTTTTTAATGGAGTGCCCTTGAGCCCCGGGCAGAATTTAGCAGCCATCTGGTCCCAGCTCTGGCTCAATTTCAGCAGATCCAAACCTGGAAAGACATTGCCACAATGAGGAGCATCGTAAGATACTGGCAAAGAGGCCAAACAGTAATGAAGATCAGGACTCTGCATCCTGGGACCACACTCACCACGAGTAAGACCCCGAACCGCCTGTGGAATGCTGCCAGCGTTCACCGTCCTGCTAAACAATGTGGTAACATCCACAGCTCGACATAAACCATCTCTGAGCTGTGATCATCGCCTCTAATCCATCTCAGAATTTCCAAGCAACACAGGCCCAGGCACTGGGGGCTCAGAAAGCAACACGGGCCCGGGCACCCTCTCAGGTGGCCTTTTACTCGACTACTACTCTAATTTTTAGCCACTCCAGCAAACAAAAGATTCCCCACTCAATACCCACAATGTTTTGACCTCTTCCTCAGCTGTGTTTGTCTAAGTCTACCAGCGACGTTAGCTTCCACAATTACACCAAGAACTCTACCATCTGATCAAAATCTCAAGAAGTACATTCACCTCTAAAAAAAAAAAAGCATAAATACAGAACAGAAGTAGACTCATAGACATAGAATACAAACTTGTGGTCGCCAAGGGGGCAGGGGGTGGGAAGGGACAGACTGGGATTTCAAAATTGTAGAATAAATAAACAAGATTGTACTGTATAGCACAGGGAAATATATACAAGATCTTGTGGTAGCTCACGGTGAAAAAGAATGTGACAATGAATATATGTATGTTCATGTATAACTGAAAAATTGTGCTCTACACTGGGATTTGACACAACATTGTAAAATGATTATAAATCAATAAAAAAAGTTAAAAATAAATAAATATAAATAAATAATAAATTATTATGATAAAGAAAAAAGAAGTACAATCACCAAACTCAAAGTTCCAACTTCTCAATTTTTTGTTTTTTGAACTATAAGGGCTCTTAGACAAACTGTATTTCACAACCGATTTAATCCAGTCCCATTCCCTTTCATTTTTATGCACACTTTATATTTTGTAATTCATCAGTGCAATCACTCCACTTTACCACTCACGGCCCTTGCCTCCTCTATCTGTCATGTTTGCCTTGTGCATGCCCAAAGAGGAGCTCAATTCACAGCCTTTTCTAACTTTCTCCCACGTGGCTTTGCTGGTAAAAATAGTATCAACTGAGCAAATCATTTCTATTTTCAAAAGAACTCCCAGCACTACCTAAAAAGCTACTTCCATTTTGTGTTCCCATAATTTGAAGTGATCCCTTCGCCTCCCGAATCCTGACCCGGACTA